TGTCAGTCAGGACTCAAGACAGTGACTCCAAGAGCAAAAACCAAAATGCAGGATAAACTTTCTTAGACATTCTGGAAAATTCCACTTCTTTAGGGTATAGACTCTTTACTCAAAGAAAGAGGGCTATTAATCTTTTTTTTTTTTCTTTTTAAATATTAAATTTTATTTTTATATTCCCCCATACAATTGCAAACGCCCCATTCTGACCCCAATCCTTCCCCTCCCGCCCCCCACCCCCCAAAAAGTGTCTCTGGTTCGTAGTTTTTTGTTGATTTTTATTAATCTTAATGAGATGTTGACATCTATGGAATCTTTATGAGGAGAGGGGTATGGGGAATGTAAGTGCTCAGAGTGCCAAGTGTAGGCACTTACCTGCTGGGCTCTGAATGGAGCCCTGGACCTGCCTCCAGGTCAGCATTCTTCACCTTCACACACATGGGAAGAGGAGCAACCACACTGGCCTCAAGCACCTTCAGGAGTCTACGAGAAAGACACCCCTGGCAGAGAGATGGATGAAAGTCTAGGATAGGGCAGGGAGTGAGGACTTTGTTTCCTACCTAACAAAACCTTAATAACCATCAAGTTCACATGCATTTTCTACATTCTAGGCATCATGTATGCACACACACACACACACACTGCTGGCATGAACCACGTGCACACTATTTAACATGCATTATGTATGCATGTATGGACATACAATTTTACATGCATTTACTTGTATATGTACATTGTACATACCTCATTTGACACACATGTAAGCTTACATGCATATATGAAAAAACATTTTATGTTCTTGTTTTTAATGGTCCTGTGAAATGGTGGTTGTTTCACAAATAAGGAAAGTAAGGCCCAAAGATGTTAAGTGACTTGCTCCCAAGCGAGGAGGAGCCATGGCATTTCCATGTTCATTGGATTCTAAACTCTGTTCCCTTCGCAGCTATGCCTTTCAGCTATTGGGTGTGCGGAATCTTCATTTGAAATCATAGGGGAAGAAACATAAAGGGCCAGGGACTAGGGAGGACGCTGGAGTAAGGGATCACCTCAGGTGTGCTTCCAGGAACCTGGCCAGCACCCTGAATCCCCATGTCCAGGTTGAAACAGTTGAAAAGAAAGGATGACATGCCAAGCATGCCCGCAGGGTCAACAATGTGCATTTCCCGAATGGCTGCTTTACTGCCTTCCATGTCATGTCCACTACCTCCCACCATTTCTGTGTTCCCAACATAGAGTTGTGTGACTTGCCATTTATTATTTTGCTTGCTTAAAGCAGTGTTTAGCTACAGTAACATGGGTGTTTTCCATTTATCCTACTTTATCTGCAGTAATTCCATAACTAAACAGTGCAGGTGAACGCTGAGTCTTTTTCTTCTGTTAGAGGAATCTGATATGCATCAAGTACACTTTCAATTAAATGCAGCCTAGACAGCCTCTCCCTATTCAGCCACTTCTGTGATGAAGGGGTTCATCTGGGGAAATTGATCAGGACCAAGTCCCCTTTTTCCATCTCCTGTTACTTCATCCCTATAACGACAAAGAGCCTCATTTAAAGCATGTGCCTTTCTGCTTCTGAAGTTACCTAGTGCCGGTAGAAATCCTCCTTTGATTTCATGTCTTCCTCTCCAACTACCTAAAACCAGCCCAGGAGGCATGCAATAAAGTCTCAAGGAAATGTTTCGGAGAAGGAAAGTTCTAGTTCATTCAATATTTGAGTAACTAAGCACAACCCAAGTTTTTATTAGGAGACAGTATTGTGTAAAAGAAAGATTATGAACTGTGGGTAGAAATGTTACTAAATTTAAACTATTATTTCTACACTATCATCTAAAATTTTTCTGTCATATGACTTTGGACCTCCCTTTCCTCATCTATAAAAAGGAAATTATCACTATCTTACTGGCTTGTCATTATATTAAATGGGGCAATGTTTGTAAATGTAAACATTTAATAAAATGTTGGCTACAGTGGGTCTTGGTAAACTCCACTTACCATTTTATTTTCATTTTTCTTGAAAATAATTCTTAACATTGGCATATGCTGTTTTAAAAATGAGCCATTAGTATAGAACATCAGGAGAGGTAATATTAGCAGTAAAGAAGTATTATATCATTGTTGGTAAATATTTTTAGGCAATTAATCAATCATTGCTGAGTATCTATTTGAGTGCATATTAGGTCTCAGATACTATGGGAATGGTAGAAATAAACAGACTTTTTCCCTTGAAAAATACCTGAATATTCTCCTTTGCATCTTCTAAAAATTGAATGTGAAAAAAATTGTTAGTTAGAAGAGTCAGCATAGAAGGTTAAAAATGTCAGGAAAAGCAAGCCATTACCTCCTCTCATTAACAAAGGAGTAAAAACCTGCTAACAAGCAGTACAGGAACAAGAGACAGATCGACATGACAACGAGAGGAGCTGTGGACCACAGCTTTCAGATGGAGGAATCCCAGCCACCAGGAAAGAAGGTCTTAACCTGGAACTTGGTCACAGCGGGCTTAGTTAGGATGTGGAGATTAGAACAGGAAGATTAGTTGACAGTTTGTATCTGGAACAGTCTGCTTCCTTCCCCTGCTACTGTATGCAACATACTCAATAGCTAAACTAAATAGACAGATGGATAGGCAGACACACAAATAGGTCAGATTCCTCTCTAGTGAGAATGAATGATCCCCAGAAAAGATCTCTGCGCTCCGGTATTTAGAGTCTTTTCATAATTATGATGAGTTTCCCCCCTAGTTGAAGGGAAGTTGACAGCTGACAAGTCAAACGTTCTCATTAGTGGGAGAGATTATTACATTTCTTTTCAATCAATATGCACTTAAGAATTTGATCAAAATTCTTAATGTTTTTTAAGGAAGAAAGTGTACCCCGAATGTGTACTGTAATAAGCTCTATCCTTTCTGTTGAGAGATCCGGATCCTAGTCACTTATGCAAATCTGCCAATAGACAATATACCAGCTTTGCATTCAGAAAACCTTGCTTTGATCTTACTGTTTTAGTTTCCATAAGTCAAGGTCACCTTACCAGAGACCTTATGTGGGTATTAGAAATATTTTATTGGAGTGATGACATTTTAATCTGCATCTCTTGCAGCAACTTCTCCAAAAGCGTCATGGGAAGCTGACATGTCACTGGGATCAGAAGACCCAGATTTGAGAACAGTCTGGCACTTATCAGACCCAAAGTGAATAAGTTTCTGAGCTGGTCCCACTGACTGCATAGAGTGAGGGTACTTAGGAATACTGTGGTGTAAATACAAGTTATTGTTCCACATGAATCAAAATGAAGGCCTGCTTCATCTTTCTACTGGTGCGGCCAAATCCACGGTGGAGTGGTACGTGCAGTGTCCTAGTGGTCCCCGACGGGCTGACGCTTGGTCTCAGTGCTAATCTGTCTCTTGAACATCTTTTGGGTCAGCATACAGTTGAGGCTGACCAGCCAGGAGCTGTCCTCCCTGGGCAATGACAAGTGCTGAGCATGGGTTTCCTCTTCTGCCACCGTGGCTGAGCAGTGATTAATGCCAAATTAGCACCATGTTCCGTGACCTTTTAGCATTCACTGCTGCTCTCCTTCACTTCACATAACTATTTGCAAATATTAGCTTCTCAGGTCATTTCTCCTCATCAGCAACTTTCACAGATGACAGGCAGGTTGTTAATCTGATTGGCATTCCACTTTCGTCCTTTGCCCCATCACAAAAGTGTCTGTACTCTGGCATTACCTCAGAAATCTGATAACCACCCCCAAAACCCCCACAATTTTACAGAGCTAGAAGAAGCCCTGGAGGGCGAACTTTGCACAGAGTCTGGGAAGACGAAGGTCTCCTGGCAGTTTCCAAGAGACCTCAGGACATCTGATAATCTGTTTCATATCCATGGAATCAGTATAAGTTTACAACATTACATTTGTTTTAATGAAGCTTTTTTTCTTCATTCATGTGAAACTTTCATTCAAAAATCACATACTGGAGCCAGAAAACAGAGCTGAGGTACATTAGTGTTGATGAGCCCAATCCTCTCTTTTCCTGTTGTTTTCTCCATGGGCCTCACCCATTGCCAGCCCAACAGGCTAGAACCTTCCATTTGCCAGACTTCTCTTCCGCTGCTCATAATAGTGGTGGGTCACGTCCCCATGAAGTACTAGATGAAACATTTTGCATTTGTAGTAATTTAAATTTATTTTTATTTCTAGTCTCCTCCATCTCCATCCTTTATTGAAATTCCTATTCTAGAAATGTTTGCTCAGTCTCCATTTTCCCTAAATAAACAGTAGCAAAGTGTACTGTGGGTAGTTTAATTTGATATTACATGTATTTTAGTAAAAAGGTGTCCTGTTTTTTTTCTCCCTTGTTACCAGGAATATGAGTGAAATTATTTATGGTTTGATACTCACAAAAAAGAGTCCGATTTAGGACATTTTTTTTCAGAAAAGGAAAAAGGATTTGAAAGTATGCTGATGGAGCTGAACACTTTGTTCATTGAAAACATTTCTTTCGGGGAATCTCATTTGGGCACTAATAGGAAAGCTGGGCACTTTCTAATATACATGGGCCTCACAGAGTTTCTGACATATGAAATATTTGTGAAATTGAACAGATTTGAAAATAGTGGGTAGACTAGGTAAGTCAATAAGCAAAGTCTTAAAGTGATATGAATAAATAAATCTGGCAAGCATTTTGGACAATACTCAGTTTGAAAGCCTCTTATCCACACAATAAACTAATCTCATCCTAAGTAAAGCTGTTAGTTCCTGGGCCTTCTAGTTGATTCACACACTTACACTTACACCACAGATTCACCCAGGAAACTAGCTATACTTGAACCTTGGTCCACAATCTGAAAAAGCCAGTGATAATGACCACACCCAAAGTTGGGATAGGGCAGTGAGAGACTGGGTGTCCTGTCAGAGTGGCTTAGCAAGAAGTTTCATTTATCATGTCCTGATCACATCTTCTACATTGAGGAGAGTTCCATGGACTGTTGTTTTCTCTGTCACAGGAGATGTTGGTACACCTGAAACCATGGCACCCATCATTGTGATTCCCCCAGGAAACAGCAGTGTGGTAGCTGGGTCCAGCGAGGTCACCTTGGAATGCATAGCCAATGCCAGGTATGCAGCTGGTTGTCCACTTGGGAATACTAACCCATAATACCTGCAACATCATGAAGTTACCCTTCGTGGAATGACACACCATGTGTGGTTTTACTCTTTTAGAAATGGTAGTCTTGTTTGTCTAGCTGGGCCGCACCACATAGGAGAAAATAAGTAACTACATTAAATGTACGTTGAATATAAAATTTCAATAGGAGGAGGTGGAAGAGAGGTGATAACTGTGAATGATAGTTACTCTGAACTAAGGAGAGAAGAGGTAAGACTTTTAATACAAAGGAAATAGTTAACTCCTCTCTAGTCCTAGGTGTTCTCGGCCTAGTTAGTAGTTGCTCCAGATTTGAGTTCCCATGATCACGCCTCCCATGTAGCTGTGTCCCCTAGTAGTATTTATTTTAAACATTCTTTTCCTGAGCAAATGGAATCATTAGCACTTATGGTCCATTGCTGCTGCAATTAGCTATCCCTGCTCAATAGCCCTTGAGGAGAATGTATCATTGATGCATGCCGTAAGGGAGTAGAGTTATATCTGGATTGATTTTTAAATGTCCATTGTTCAACCTGCCATGGTTCCTGGTAGAATTAGCTTTGTCAAGCTGTGCTGAATGCCTAAAATTATTATTATGGCCATCTTGATGATTCACAGTTTTTGTGTCTATACCCTTTGTTCTCACAGGCCTGTTGAGGAGCTGAGTGTGAGCTGGAAAAGAAATGGAGTGAGACTCACCAGTGGGCTTCACAGCTTTGGGAGACACCTCACCATCAACAATCCCACATCTTCAGACACCGGGGTGTATGTTTGTGAGGCGACACTAAGAGGAAGCACTTTTGAGCCTGCTAGGGCGAGAGCCTTCCTCTCTATCATAGGTAAGGCTCAAACTATCTCAGTCAGAGTCCCTCACTGACACATCCCTAGAAACAACACAGTGACACCTCTGTCTCACTGACTTTGTCTTCAACTCAGCAAATGGCAGTGTAGTTGAGTTCACATTCCAAATCCAGTCTAGTTTTCTTTTCCAAAAATACAGATTGATTCAATCCAAAGAATGGTGAATACTTCCAAGAAATGGTCTTCTGATTACTTCCAGTCAGAAACCTTGGGAAATAGGTGAAAACCTTGTTGTATATATATAAATCACATTCCTGTGTTGGCCTGGGTGCCTCTCAACTTTACCATAATTCTGACTTGATGTTATGATCAGCATTCAGAGATTGTTGTGTTTTTTTTTTAACCCAGAATAGAGAAAATATTAGATATTACCTTTTGTTAAATTAAAAAATGACAGCAGAGACGCTTCCTAGAGCATGAGCCAAGTGTCATCCTGAACTAGGAGATAAAACTAAGCACATTTGAGTTACAGTAAATGCTAGAAAATATCAGTGTTTAGGAAATGTACGTCGTGCAGTGGTTGAGGGACTCCGTAGTTTGTTTTTCAGATTATGATAAGATTATGTTAAACTGTAAGGCAAGTACAGTTGCTCCAAAATTGTGGTTTTTTTTAGCTCCTGTGACACTTTTATTCTTAAGTGGTTGTGATTACTATGTAGTGGCCTATCTAACAGAACAGACGCCACCGCAGATAAGAGAGTGTCTTAGAAGTGGGCCTCAGGAAGGAGAAACCCTGCTTAACTTCTTCTCTTCCAGAAGAAGGGGAATTAAAAACAGGAAAAAGTCAAATAAGCAGAAAGCCCTTTGGAGAGCCATTGCTCTTCAAATAACCTATTTTACTGTTTGCCACTTTGCAAACTAAGAAAAATAAAGTTTTTATCTTCCTATGAAATTATCAAGAGAATCAAGAAATATTGCATTAGAGGCAGTTTGCCTTGAGTATGTCACATTCCTTTAAATCATTAGGAAATGGCTTTGTGGCCTGAAAATGACTGCCAAATACATACCAGGCAAACCTGTCAGTCCCTCTGAAAGAGGTGTAAGAATTTTTAAAACTCACAGAAAGCAAGTCAGAGTCACAAATCCTTGCTGCATCTACACCAGGGGTCTCAGCTGGTTCTCTTGCTGCTTTTATCATCCCTGCGTTAGCTATCGATGTAAATACCACATCCCCATTCCCGTGAGGACTTTTTCATTAGTGTTGATCTATAGCTATGAGCACAGTACATTATAGATTGCACCAAAATTAAAATTTGTGATGTGTAAATCTCTAGTAGACAGGACTATATTGTGTTAAAACAGCTTAAGGTAATTTAAACCAGAGAAGAAATTTATCTCCCTGCAAACTAGGATGTTTGTTTCCATCATAATTCCTTTCAAAAATATTTAAATCTATCACGTGAACTTACATATTGCATTTACATCTAAATCCTGAAGCAGATCATTTTTATATTTGCTTGAGCTGCCATCCCTCTGTGTACCCACTTTTAAAGGTACATGAGCACACGTTGTTTCTTTGTGATGTTGATTTAAGTCACCTCGTCTTCATAAGAATTTGCTGTGACAGGTTTAGGATTTTGTGGTTGAGTCATCTTGGAAAAGCCTTGAAAAGGCTCTGTCAATTCAGAGTGATTTAGGAGATTATACCCCAAACCCAGTAATCATGGAAGGAGGGTCCTCAGGACGGTTACTGATTTCGCAGCGCTGTCACCGGCAGACTGTGCAGAGCCAGCGATGTGAACATTGCAGACGAAAGAGAGCAGGAGCATTTTGGCTTCCAATTACTTTTATTTCAGACTGATGAGACAAGACAGAGTAGTTGCACTGTTTACGCTGCCTGTCAGCCTCCCTGCTGTATTGCTTAATTTCCGAGGTGTGAGCAGGAGCACAGGGGTCTGGCTATGGCACCGGCCACCGCTGACTTCCTGCAGCAACCCACACCTGCAGAAGCAGCATCCTGGGCTGGGCCTTCCCGTCCTGCTCCTCCAACCTCCACTAAGGTTGCTGCTCTTTCTCCAATATTCTATTCCTAATCTATCCCTCCACTGCCCCTACAATAACCTCCTTGCTTCCCCCACACCACACACATGTACACACGGCACACTCTTGGGTGGCCCAGCATGTTCCTTCTTCCTGTTTCCATGGTCAGTGTGTATCTTTGTTCCTGTTGGCCTCTGACCACCGGAATCTGGGTGCCCACAGTGTGGAGTGGGCCAAGTGGGCCAAGTGCCCACTGTGTGGAGCAGTGTGCTCCACAGATCCAGTGAAACACAGTGGGTACATTCTCCATCCATCCATCCCAACAGATTGACTCTTATGCACATCCAAAGCAGTGCTGCCGGCACAGTGTCCTGCTCCGTGAGCATGCGTATCCTGCTCCCACGCACAAATTCCAACAAGGGTCCCTGTTGCAGAGAGCCCTCTCTCTATGTGTCAAATCTATCTTCATGTTTATACACAAATCATTTAGAAGTCCCAATGTCTCGATTATTGTTGAAATGCCAAAGTTCTTGTAACATCTCTTGGCTGGCACCTTCTTCTGTAGCTGCACTGAGGTTCTCAGAGCTGAGAGGGAGCTTCTCATCCCGATGTAAAACTCCATCTCTCTTCATTCTCCCTTCCCTCCCTTCTTCCTGCCTTTCTCCCTCTGGCTCCTTTCCTCTTCCCTTACCTCCTCCGCTTATTGCACAACATGTATTTATTGAGTCTGCAACGGAGGAGTGAGGTGGCAGCCACCCCAGGCATGGAGGATTTTTGTGTGGAAGACAATCCCTTCATGGGCAGTTACAGTTCAGCAGGAATGACCAAATACATGCAGCACTTGCAGGGGCCCAGGTTCTCCTGACAGGCAGTGGGTGAGGAGCTTCCACCAACAATTCAGGCAAATTCAAGTACAAGTATTACATTCAGAACAGGAGACACTCTAGCAACTGTGTTACCGACTAAGAATAACCTGTCTTGTAACTCCTTTGTGTTGTTTTAAGATACTCTGAAGATGTCTTTTTCTATGGTTTTTACATAAGACTGGTATTATATTCACATGTGACCTATAATAATTATGTTCTTTATTGATCTCCTATCACAGCTGGAGCTTATCTGCATGGCAGTGTATTACTGACTAAAGCTCAGAAAATAAAGCTAATACAGAACTGTTACTAAGATAAAAGGAAAAGTCATGTGAGGCAAATAGCAAATGCTATTTGGGTCATTTGCTTTTGAATGCAGGGTTGTTGGGCCAGTCCGGGAATACCAAGGCGGGGTAGGATTTCAGAGGGACAAGGGTGTGCTTGTCTGTGCACCCTCTCTTCCTCCAGGCTTCTCTCGCGTCTTCTGCCTTCACTGTTCATGCACCAGTCACTGATTGAGCACGTAGTATGTACAAGTCACTAAGCTAAAGTGTTAGCATGGGTAGAGAATGGAGGAGGATTTGCAAGGAAGAATCAGACACATTTCCTCCCCTAAAGGAGCTTAAGGATTTCAAGGTCTTTGCTACTACCCTTCATCTCTTCTTTCAGTAGATATTTTTAAGGGTGTTCTCTGAAATTATGCTAAAGTACTAAAAATACAGATGTAAGATACATTGTCTGAGACACTTCTAAAGATATGGGGGGCTGATCTATAGGTGGATCACACAAATATGGATCATTGGCACCAAAGTATGTGGGTAGAGGCCCTGTCTGAGGAAGTCGAGGGGTGGGGGGTTGCAAAAGAAGGGACTCAAGCTCTGAATTTCGATGCTTGAGTCCAAATTTGCCAAGAAGACAGAGTTGAGAAAATCATTCCATGCAAAGAAATGAGAAGGCATATAATGCCTTTGTGTTGCTGTTGTGGGAAACAGCTTAAAATAATATGCTATATGACATCATAGGTCTGAGGTCGGAAGTCTGAAAGGGCTCAACTAGTCTGTTTCCCATTCTCCCAAGATCATTCAAGGTTGTGATTGGGTTGAATTCTTATCTAGAAGGTCTGGGGGAGAATCCACTTTCTGGCTCAGTCAGCACGGCGTTTAGTTCATGTGGTGAGACTGCAATACTGGTGTTCTTTCTGGCTGTTGAGTGGAGGGGTCATTCTTAGGTTCTAGGAGCTACCTCCAGATCCCCCAAATTATAACCACCTTCACTAGTGAAGCCAGTAGTAGTAGGCCAAATTCTTCTCATGCTGTCAATCTCTCTGAACTCCCCTCCTGCCAGAAAAAGTTCTCTTCTTTTAAGGGTTTCTGTGCTAAGATTGGGCACATCTACCCCCAATCCAAGACAATATCTCCATTTAAAAATCCATAACCTTAATCATATCTGTGAAGTACCTCTTGCCTTGAAGCAGAGCATCTTCAGAAGATCCAATGACTAGGGTGGCGACATCTCTAGGGGCTGTTCTGCCTACTGCAATGGACAAAGGCACCAGGGTGTGAACCAAGATGGCAAGTCAAGGGCACACCTTGGGATCTGCTGCTCCTTAAGGAGACCATGGAGGGGAAAGGAAGGCAGAACAGGGAAAATCTTTGGGGCCTTTGGTAAGCCCTACTCAGGGCAGACTGTGCAACTTAGCCATGCCACCTCCTTCAGACATCAACCTACACCTTGTTACTCTGGCATTTTGGAGAGTGGGGTGCTTGATAGGGGCCCTCTTGGGGCTACTGAGTGTTATCCCCACTTCCAGTTCTGAGATGGGGGGACTGGAGCTCATGCTGCCTGAACCCTGGGCAGAGGGCCATCAGCATGCTGGCCTCTTGTTAACATCCAGCTTCATACAGCAATGAGAACATTTTCCTGATGTCTTCATCATGTTTTAAAAGAGATAAGAGTGTTAGTTTCAACCTGAGTTTTATTGACCACAGGTTGGTAAATTTTGTAAAACTTAGTGTGTGCCTGTGCTGGCAGTGAAACCTTTTAGAAAGAGTTGTTGCTGATTTGCTAAGACATGCACTTGCCCCTTGAGGATTAAGCGGTGATGAAGTCTGCACAGGAGCACTGTGACGAGAGCTCTCTCCCCACTGTCCAACCCATGGTATCATCTAGGTTGACATGCTTGATATTTCCCTCCAGTTTTTTTCCTTCAAGTGACTATGTGTAAAAGTAGCTGGAGATCAAGAGAAAACACTTCCAAGCATCTGCTGAGTTCAGGTCCTATAAAAGGTGAGCAGTGGGAGAAATAATAGCATGTTCTGATGAGGAAGGAGCTGTGTGGGCCTGTCAGGGCTTCAGCATCCCTGCTCCACTCACTCAGCCACCTGGAAGACTTTCAGGAACAAGGCAAGAGCATCAATAAATGAACAAATTCTCTGCCCATGCCATTCCCAGCCTTCGCAGCTTTCAGCTCCTAAAATGTCCCTTGGCATTGGCTCCAGTGAGAGCACTTGGCAGTACTGGCAAGCTGCTCTTCCAGACCATGCCCAAAGAGCCTAGAGACTGCCCTTGGCACAGAATATTGAGTAAAGTGAGTGTGCCAAGCCCCTGTGGGAACTGGCTGGCCTGGGAGGCTGGCAGTGCTCTGAGGAGTGGCTTTGGCTGGGCCTCAAGGTCCCTGAGGCACCCCAGCCATAAAGCCAAGCCTTTGCTCCAGCCAGCCTCAGGTACCCCTTGTCTCTGAACCCCAGACTAGGGCCCTCCCTAGCACTTAGGGGGAGCCAAATGAGGAAGCCACCACTCAGACATTGGGCCATTTTGCCTGGCAGCATCTGCAGTCAGTACACAGAGAATTGTCTGGCCCTGTAGATGTTGACTATTTGTATGTATGGATTTTTTACTATCAAAGTATAACTGCTTTTGGATGAATCTCAAGGAAATTATTCTGAGTGAAAAAAGCCAGTTCCAAAGATTACATACTATGTGATTTCATATATAAAACATTCTTGAAACCGCAGTGTTAGGGAGATGGAGAGCAGAAGATTGGTTGCCAGAGGTTAGGAATGGGATGCTGGGGTGGACGTGGTTACAATAGGGCAGCAATGAGGGGTCCTTGTCAGAGACCTGCTCTGTGGTGGTGCAGGCACATATCTGCACAGCTGGTGACACTGCATCGAGCTCAGTGGCACAGGCAAGCACACAGGAGCATGAGCAAAAGGACAGGAATAAGATAGGTTGATCGTGTTAGATTGACTGTTTCAATGTCAGAATCTTAATTGTTCTATAGTTTTGTAAGACATTATCTTTGGAGTCAACTGAGCAAAGAATGCATTATTTCTTAAAATTGCATGAGATTCTACAACTAATTCAAAGTAGGATATGTAATTTAAGAAAGGAAAGCTGTAATTGGTCACAGGCAAATGTTGATGTTTTAACTTTTTCCCCCTCCCGTCCTCTGAACTGGTCAGAATGGTAGATATTGATTCCAGCCATCGCTGATGAATACAGGGCATGACCCACACATGGGAACAGCTACTGCATAGTTAGAATATAAATACTGCAGCTATCATTATTATTGATGAATGAGACATGATTGGTGTGAATATGAGTGTGCAATAAAAACCAGCTTGGAAAAGATTGACTCTAAATCTGTGCAGTATTTCTTTAGACCTGGGTCTATACACATGCAAAACTAAGTCGAGTCTTCTGCCTCCACCTAGTGAAGGTGCAGCCTTAGCAGAGGAGGTAATTCAGGCAGATTGTTCCCGCTTGAGTGATCCAGGTAATTGCAGAATTGATACCTAACTGCCTCCATTGAGAAACCAGTCTGTTCTCCTTGATCATTTCTTTGAAATGCTAAGTTCTTACTCTATTTTTCTTCCTTTAGCTCCACCCCATTTTAGATACAGTCAATATAGGAGGCATGCCAAGCTATATTATTCACATTCAACACAAGTACAATGAAAATAAACCATTCTGGAAGACAGTGCCCAGAAATTAATTATCACGCAGAAAGTGAATACAACAGCCTTTTGTTATCATGATAATAAAATCACTACCACCTAAATACTGGATGAACTTGGCCATGCCACTGTTGAATTTCTGCTGAATAAACTGAGAAAAATATTGCACGTATTTCTCCAAGGAAATTCATTGTTTAATACAACCCCTATTTTTTTTGTGTTGAATAACGAGTAGAATATCTAGAGATAGGAAGTGGCTAAGAGTCTCTTTTGTTGGTAAAGATAGATGAGGGGCCCTTCCTCCGTTTTCTCTTAGCTATTAGTTTACATTCTATTGAAGTATTAAATCTATATTTTGGAGGAGAAGAACTGCTAAGATTTTAAAAAATATGTTAATAGGCTGCTCCGTTCTCTGATGCAGGCTGGGTGCCTCGCCGTGCCACTTTATTTGACATGCTTCATGAGGTGGTGTTTAGTTTAGATACTGAAGCAAACTAGCCTATAAAATACTGTGCTGTAAATATAAACCTTTATGAACCTCTTGGGATAGTCCTTCTAAAATGTGAATTAAGATATTCCATGATTCAAGCCCATAAACTGAAAAGTAGCCATCGCCCTAAGTAGTAATTTGCTTTCTGAAACCTTCAAATATAAATTGCCTTTGGCCTCTGCTCTGTGAATCCTGAGTTTGTGTGTATGATGGTAACTAATGAAGTTTTTAAAAATAGTTTCTAAAAGGAACGCAAACTATATCAGACTATTAGGGTCCTCTGGAAATACTCTTCTTTTGCTTAGGGGTTATTATGTGTTTTCTTATTTAAAGAGCCGCCGTATTTTACTGCTGAACCTGAGAATCGGATTTTAGTTGAAGTAGAGGAAACCGTGGACATCGTGTGCCGAGCTATGGGTAAGTGTGGGAGGCGGTCAAACAGGCAGCCATGAGCTGGGGGAACAGGCACAGCATTTTTCGGGCAGGGTCATCTTTGCTGAATGAATGGAGTACAACTGTCATTGGCCATGTGACCTTGACAAAGGTATTTGACCTTACTTAGCTTTCACATCTTCATCTTCAAAGCAAGGATAGTAATATTTACCCCAGAGAGCAGTAAGGAAGTCTGACCCCCCACCTCTGTCCCAACAAAGGTTCTCGACCACCTTCAGCTGCACTGAGAGCATGACCAAACCCCCACCCCATCCATCCCCATCCCCATCCCCAGGGCTCAGGGCTGGAGCTTCATACTCTCATCCATGGGGGGCAGGGACTAGTGACCAAGTCAGCTCCTAGGAAGACCAATTGTTTTAAATATTTGAATAGGAAATATTCCTGTTTTTCTGCCTGTTCAGCTTTGGGTGGACTTTTCCTTTGTTATTCAGATAATGCCAACCTTGGGCCCCAGGCCTTGATTACTAGCTGTCCACTTTCACCATTTCATGCCCAGCAGCACAAGTAATTATACCAAATGCCTTAACAGAGACAGGCTTTTTAAAGCAATTTCATTAACAAAAGCTATGTGAGTGCTCTGAAGATTGTCAAGAAATGAAAGGAGCTTTTCTTTTATGTTAATACCTGTCCATCTCAAGGGTGGGCATTTTCTTCTGAGTGTGGAGGGTAAAGTTTACTAACAATTTAGCTCATCTTCAAAACAGCTCCATGAGAGATGTTATTATCTCACTGCACATATGTGGGGAAAATAAAATCTTAGAAAGCAAGGTAAAATAAGGTGATCAAGGCTCAGAGCAGGAAGGTGTAAAGAGATCTTGCTGGTGAAGGCCTGGCCCAGTGTCAGGTACATAGGAGCTGCTCCTTAGCTACAGGGCAGGTAACCCCACCACAGGTATGTGATTAATGGAGATAAGAGATTGCAAACCCAAATCCATCAGCTGCCAAAGCCAGTGCTTTGAGCAGGACACCTGTCTTGTCCCAAGAGAGGTCCTGGGACTTAGAGCAAAGGCCATCTATTTATAGGCATGTCATGTCATTTTTCATTTCTGAAAATAAGTGGTGGTCTTGCCCGGTACCATGTTAATGGTAAATACAGAGGCCAGCGTCTGACCACAGCCCCATCCTCACATGTCCTGTATGTAACAGCCTCCCCTGCCTCAAGGATCTGTTCCACCAGGAGTTCTGGTTCTCAGCTCCCGGTGAGTCCCCATGGCCTCTGTTTACAGATCTGCCTGTTCCTGGTCTCTTTGCTGACTCTGCTACCTCAACCGCAGGGGAGCAGGGGAAAAGGGGCTGAGAACCATAATATGAATTTTAAATAGAAATATTTTCCTTACCATGGTTGCATTGTTCTCTGTCTTATATAAACACCAGCTTTTTAAGGCCAACAATTCTCTGAAAGTGAAGCTATAAAATATTTAAAGTTCCCCATACAATTGCAATCCCCCCATTCTGACCCCAATCCCTAAAAAAATAAATAAATAAATAAATAAATAAATAAATAAATAAATAAATAATAAAAAAAAATATTTAAAGTGCTTATATTTTAGAAAGGAGAGTCTACATACTGCGTGGGATAAGACTTCTGTTTATGACATTAAACTGCCCCAAAATAGAAATATTCCTAGTTCCCTATCTCCTAACAATTATTTTTCAATAAGTGACAATCTTAAACTCTCCTTTGACAAGAGAATGTTCCTTTTTGCATGATTTCCATTGGGTAAACTGCTTGTTAAGTATAGACTTATAAATATATATTGAACAGATCTTTCAACATTGCATTGCCATCATATAATTTACTGCTTTCTTTTAATTTTGACAATGAAACTATAGCAGCATGTGAAGTGGTTATTCTTTATGAAAGCTACATCATGTAATTGCTATTATGAGATTTTACATGAATTGGTTATGCTTTTACCTTGAAATGGATTTTTTTTAATTTCCTGACTTAATGAAAAGTGACAGGAAACATAATTAAGGCAAAGAACAGAATCTGAGAATACATTATGTTGAAATATTTCATGACATTAATTTTATTTATTAAAGAAAACGTCGTATACCTACATAGCATCCTAAATCAAGGGATTTAGTTGAACTTTTCACCATGAACCATGTCAGGATGGGTTTTATTTAAATCCATTTTGCATTTGGAGAAACAGAGGTACATACTGAACCATCTGAGATCTGGAAATAAGCATATTTCACCTGTATCCACAACCAGCAGACTTGTACCCACTGTGAGTTGGGACTTGATTGCCCTGAGTGTTTTGGTCTGGTTCTCTGCACAGCCCCTCAGGTATGCCGAGCATGCCCTTCTTGGGTGAGCTCGACCCTTCCTGCTTCAGAAAGGGTCATCAGGAAGTGCCAAGAAGCCAGTCTTCCCCCACTGCTAGTCACCCAAGCCCCTGGAGAGCCACCAGTGGAAGGAGTCTGATGGTTCCTGCTTGGAGCTCACTTCATGCAGGAGGCCACGTGTGTGTGTGTGTGCAGGGGGGTGTGCTGGGTAAAGAGGAGGCAGCCACTCATCTCCTGGCTTACCTGCACTGACCACAGCCATCAGGGGGAAGAGCAGCAGAAATCCCCATGCTCTCAGGGAGGAAGTTCCCTGTCATTGTCAGTCCAGGCTCTTCCTTGTGAGCTGCAAACACCCAACCCTCAATCTCCTTCAGGCCTCCAGACTGTGGGCAGCTGAAGTGCCCTTGACTGCAGCCTCATTTTCACTGCAGTGTTTAGATGAGGACGGGGCCATTCGGAGTGACTGTCGAATATCTCACCTTAGTCAAACCTTTCAGTCCTAGCACTCAAACTCTCAACTGTGCTCCCTTGGCTTACTCTGCTCTTGGGGTATAAAATGGAGCCATCCTACAGCCCCTCCTTCTCCTCTGTTGTGCTCACATTTGTCTTAGGGGCCAAGACAATTTATCCCTTATCTACAATTTAATATCTCTTATGTCTCCTCAACTTTTCACCAAATACATCTTGTGTGGTTGTTCCTTAACCTAATCAATTGCCCCTCCAAACAGTAGACAGCCACTTAGACCAGCGATCGCCACTCCTTAAGTAGAGGGCTTTAAAGATGGCACACGTTTCTGTTGTTGTAGTAATTAATAGGGATACTCTCCATTGAGCACCAACCACGTGCCAGCTCTGAGAGCTTTATCTATATTGATGTGATTAATATTCACCACAACCTTCTGAGGCCACGATGGTCTCTCGCTTTCCACAAGTGAGGAAACAGACAAGGAGAGATTGTATTCTGCCTAAGATGGCACCATCATCAACTGGGATATGACTAAGTGCTGTACTCTCTCCACCCGTGTGACCTTCCCTGAGCCCCCAGTGGCAGAATCAGGCCCTGCAGAGCAGCAGAGACTGTCATCCCCAGCCCTGGCTCACGGTACAGCACAGTCGAAAGTGCACGGTCTAGGTAAGAGTGAAAAGCTGTGCAGCTCAGGGGAGCCCAGCGGATTGTATCTGGGTCTGAGTTCATTCCTGTTAATGCCTCTCTGCCGATCTCTCATCTAAAGTGAGAAAATACTTTGGGGGAGGAGGTAAAGGACTAATAGATGATAACATGCTTATTACAACTCAAACGTTTTAGTCTTTGAAATGTTTTGCCTATAGTAAGAATTCCTTATAATAAGGAATTCTTAAAATTTAATTTTTAATGCCCATCTATTTCCATTCCTGCACAGGGGTCCCTCTTCCTATCCTCCGATGGTACAAGGATGCCGTGTCCATCAGCAAGCTCCAGAATCCTCGGTACAAAGTGCTCCCCAGTGGAGTCCTGCGCATCCAGAAGCTGAGTCCAGGGGACTCTGGAATCTTCCAGTGTTTTGCCAGTAATGAAGGAGGGGAGATCCAGACCTACACCTACCTGGATGTCACCAGTGAGTACTGCCCATCAGCAGAACCAGACCTCTAGGGCTTCCCAACCTTGGCCCCATGTGACACTGAGAAGGTGGTCACCTCCATTCAACCTTTGAGGTCAATGGTAAATGGAAACCGTGCTGTGCCCATTTGTAGGTATAGGGGAAGCTCTGCTGGAGCCTGTGAGCAGCAAATACAGACAGTTAGTTGCCTCCCATCCCTCGTGCCCTCCCTGTTCTTATGAAAGCCTTGATTTTTCAGCACTTAAGTTCTCCTCTTTGCTGAAGGGAAGTAGAAAAAAATCCCCCATTTTTCTGGACAGAACTGGAAGGAATGTTGCATGAATAGCTCACTCCTAATCTTTTTCTTTTGCTCTTTTCACCATTTTTAAAATATTCATTCTCTGTTTTAGTTTTATTGAACAATGATGGTTCTTTTGTGAGTTTCTTTTATTATTCCATTAACAGAAATACTTTGGCACTTTGTCTTTGAAAAATAAAATAAAGGTAAAGGTTTTCAAGTATCTGCGGGTTTTCTTTTTAATCTCCCATAGTTGTAATATTGTTCTTTTAAAACAAAGTAGAATTTCATGATTATGGAATTACACCTTCATGCTTGCCCTTTGGAAACAAAATGCTTATATCCTCAGGTATGAAAGCCATTTGAGAAAGCAAATCAATGCCGGCATGTACATAGCCAGTAGCTCTTGCCAGCCAGAACTTACAAAGACACTGGAGGAATATTTAGAGATACATGCATATATGTTGGTGATCTAGGGATGACTTCTGTGAACCTTGCGCAGGGTCAAATTTATCTTCAGGTTAGAATTCTGCATAGGAAGCCAGTGTTGTGTTAAGCAGTGGAAATAATATTGGTTACTAAAGTAGAAACTGAGTTTTAGTTAGTTAGAATTACTCCATGCCTAACTTAAAATTGTGGGCCAGAGTGGTCTGGGGAAGGGACTGGCAAAACTTCTGTCAAAGGCCACCTAGGAATTATTTTTGGCTTTGAGGAATGTGGTCTCTCACACCTACTTACCTTTGATGCAAGCAGAATGAAAGCTGCCTCAGAAAATAGGCAAACAGGGCCTCCCTGGTGGCGCAGCAGGTTGAACGCAGCGCTATGAAGCTGTCCGCAGCTTCTGCAGTGTGGGTTCGATTCCCAGCCGGCCAGGGAGAGACCCACATGGAGCGGCAGACCTCTCCTGTCTTGCCCGCTGCTCCCCTCAGCGGGCCTGTTCTGCTCAGTCAGTCTGCCTGTTCTGCTCCCGACTCTGTCTCTGGTGAATCCTCTCACCCTCCCATGCCTCTGACCTGTACCCCAGCTCTTGTATAAATAAATAAATCTTTGAAAAAGAAAAAAGAAAAAGAAAATAGGCAATCAAGTGGGTTTCACTACATTCTAGTAAAACTTTATTTCAAAAGAAGTGACAGGTTGCATTTGGTCTATGGCTTGTAGTTTGCTGGCCCTTGCTTTAGGGAGAAACTTTGGGCACCTTATGTAATTTCTCTCAACCCCAGTTTTCTTGCCAAAATGCAACCAACCTAACCCAGTTCACAGGGGTTTTATGAGGATCATAGCGACAATATAAATGACAGTGCAGTGCTCATTAAACTGGCTACCATGACAACCAGAGAAACAAATAAAGTAATGATTATGATAATGCTACACTGACCTTTTTGCAAAATGGTTATTTTTTTAAAAAAATTTAAAACATCTTTAATGAAAGGAAAATACAGCATGTGAAGCAGTCAATATTTATTCATTCATTTGATAAATGTTTATTGAGCATCTGTGTCAGACATGCTGGGTCCCTGAGGTTTTGGTTTCTGTGCTTCTAAGAGAAAGATAGTAAAGGAGAAGATGCTTCCGCTAGTGATGAGGCCTGGGAAGACCAGAGAACAGGGAAGGCCCCTTCAGGCATGCTTAGAAAGGGGTTCTCAGATGTACTGGAGCTGAGACTTGAACTATGACAGAGGGGCCTGTCATGTGAAATCTTGGGGGCCATGCATATCATGGAGCATGGGGGGTGCCTTGCAGGGACAAGCTAGGCTATGTGTGTATGCAGGGAGAAGAAAGTAGGTGAGGAGGGAGTCTTGGATGAGCAAGGGGGTAGGAGATAGGATGGAGGGATACACAGCAGCCAGCCGATCAAAGAGCCATGGGAGAAGCATATGGCGTCGTTTATGGCTATGGAATGTACTTTGAGGGTAAGAGCAGAAGTTTGGGGATCAGTTAAGGTGAGTCAGTAGTGCAAGCAGTGTGTTGACGTGATCAGCCCTATGAGATGCTTGGAGGAAGAAGCAACAGGACTCTGATCTGTAGGAATCCCCATCCAGTGAAGGGAGAGTCAGGCAGCTGTGCCTTCATCTCCTTTAGTCTTCTCACTTCTGCTGGGGACATCAGCCCCAGGCTCATCAGATGCTCTCACATGGGCTTGGGAGCTACAGGTCACTGATGTGCGGGGTCTTCTGTTTCATCATTAGCAAAGCAGGGCAGTCAAAAGAGCCCTCACTGAAACCAGCCTGAGCTACTCCTGCCTTCCTTTTGTCTGATTCAGGGCTGTTAGAGGTTAGAGGCCTCCATTAATATGAAGAACCCCACAACACTTCAGGCCTACAACATTTCCCAGGAGTTCCCTGCTGAAGTCCTTGAAATCTGGTTTTTTTAACTTGGAGAATGGATCTTGGAAAGAAACTACCATCATTTGGGTGATCCTTAGTATTCAAAAATCAGCTTTTTTCCTCCTTAATGTAGCAACTTTTTTGATTTATCTAAATAAATCCTCTTTTTATATCCATCTAAAGCTGTTCTTCCCGGGTCCCTGCACTCTCCCACTGTGTATTTGTTACATCAAGAGACTGTATGCTTTTTAGGTTGTAAACAAAGATGGACAATTCCTGGAAGACAAACAATGACAGGTTATTGTCACTTCTAAAATGTTTTCATTGTTTATCACTGCGGTGTCTCTGAGATTAGCCCTATAAACTTCCACATAGACCACTTCACCATACCAGTCTGAGCGTTTTTGTGGAACAACACTCTGAATATGTCCCTGTTTAACTCTCTGCTCAGATGTTGCACCAACCTTCACTCAGCTTCCAGTGGACACCACAGTTACAGATGGGATGACAGCTGTGTTAAGGTGTGAGGTGTCTGGGGCTCCCAAACCTGCCATCACATGGAAGAGAGGTAGGCCTGCCGCCCACAGTGGTACAAACAACATAGAACATGAACCCACCAGGCTGAGGCGTGTGTCTCATTGTTCTCATTTTTGTTCACTCAGTAAAAGACTAAATAACCAGGTACTCGGTATCTGCAAGGTGCTAGATGCCTTACTGGGATGGTGAGACAGCAGACTTCTGCCTTCAGGAAGCTTACGGGCCTAGAAAAGGAAACAGACATGTTAATACATTGTGTAAATATCACTTTCATCTGTCTCAGCCCTTTAGAAAAGTACCTCAGGCCTGCTGAGGATCCTTAAAATACGAGGTATTGAATTTAGAGCAGTTCTGCTAGGACTCAGTTTCCCCATTTGTGAAATGAACTTCTACCCTGATAATATTCAACATTTAAGACTCACATACCCTTTTTGTTTGTGGCCATTTTTTTATGAAAGCAAGTTGCTTCTAGCACAGGACCATTTTCATTCTCTCCAGTTTGACATGTGTGAAGCTCTACATTCCACTTCTATTTCAGTTCCCATGAAGAATAGTGCCACTCAGACTGTCTTCATGACACCCAGGCCACAGGTGGCACATATTTCACTAAGCGAGCAGTGCACACAGCCCCTCCTTTACACATCATGTCAAACCTGTCAGTTCATAGAGGTTAACTGGTCACGCATGGTGGACTATGGGCGGGTGAAACTTCCAAACTTACATCTGGTTCATGTTCCCAGAAAGCCACGTGATGGTTCTCAACTCTCAGAAGTGCAATTCCTGCCCTCAGAACATAGCTTAGAAACACGAGGCTCTGGGACACTGACAATTAACGAGAAAAGGGGATTTATTTTATTTATTTTCTTTTTAGATTTAAAATGTATATGACTTTCTATAGAAACTTTTCAAACCCAGAGGAATAGCAATAAAGATAAGTCACTCCACACAAATGATCACCACAAATCATAATTTGTTTAACCAACAACTTTCTCAATGTTGGACAATTGCGATATTCTCAGTTTCTGTTATTCTAAATGATGTAAAAGAAAATTGGTTTGGTAACTTTTATGCATAAAACTTCCGCTTTACTCGATTATTTCCTCATATTACTTTCTTGGTTGTGGCTTTTTAACATCATCTTCTTTCATTTCAAGAGACAGGGCTCTAACATTCCGTTGTCTTCTGCTGTTCTTCAGGAAACCACATTTTGGCCAGCGGCTCCGTACGGATTCCTAGGTTCATGCTCCTGGAGTCTGGGGGTCTGCAGATAGCCCCTGTCTTTGTCCAGGATGCTGGCAACTACACCTGCTATGCAGCCAACACAGAGGGCTCCCTGAAGGCGTCTGCAGCGCTCACTGTGTGGAGTAAGGACAGCATCCAAGAGGAACCTTCTATTAATCCGGCTTTAATCACCGTGTCATCTGCACTTAGGGGGTGTCCATATGCCCTGGGACTCTCTAATATAATCAAAAGAGAATGATTATCTTTACAACTAATTTATAGAAATCTATTGAGTAATTAATTTTTCAGCTTCTAAAAGAATAATTAGATAATGTATTCAAAGATTCAATTTGGGACAATTCAGGAGAGATAAAAGATTGACTTTTTAAAGTCAGTAGAGTAGGGCTATTATCTCAAATTAATTCAAATAGCAAAACAAATAGGTTGGTTAATTTTATAAGCATTATAAAAGAAAACTGAAACAAGAATTAAAATCCTGGAGAAAGCATGTTCTTTCTCTAGGATAAATGTAATTATCATTACAACCAACAAAAATATGTTTAGTATATTAAAAATGTTTCCTATGTATTAAAAGTGAATGAAAAGACCTTTATTATTTTTATACCTTTGGTTTATTCTTATTTTACCTACAATTCAAGTTTATGAAAAGTTAGCATAAATTGTTTTCTGGAGCACCAAGTATTTCTGCCCTCCCTTCTTGTAACTTCACTCACCATCTGTTTTTCGTCTCTGCTACATCCCTCTATATATTATATTGAAAATCATTGTACATGAGCAAAAGACAATGCTTACTTATAGATCTTCATAAAACTGTGAGGAGAGAAAGTTTCAACTTTTTCAAGGGGATAATTTGTTAAAAATACCACCTTTGAAGAAAAACAAAATTATTATGCTTTAGTATGTTGGCTTTTTTCTATGATGTTATTGGTGTCCACTTTGATAACTGACCCTTTCTAACTTACTAGGGGTTCTGAAAAATACCATAAGTTTAAAAGGAATGAATCCAAATTCCCCCCAATATTGTCAAGTACTAAATAAGAGGTTTTGTTCCATTTGGTGGTATTGGTGATCGACTCTGTCAGCCACTTCTGATTCATCATGTGTGAACTAACCATTCACTTAAAAGCTTATATCTCAATCTCTATAGGTCAGTCACCAGAAAATGTTGTAGATCTGCTAAGATTCAAAGTCGTAGCAACACTAGGGTGGTTGGTACAACCGCTGTGTGGCCTGCAGAACATGTTCCTGTACACTGTTCCCTACTTTATTCTCTGCAACAGTGACCAACATCCCCCTTACACAGACAAGTACACTGAAGCTCAGAGGCATAGCAAGTAGTGAGGAAGGCCCCTGAACTGAGTGACTCCAAGATTTGGGGCTCTGTTGGTGCCAGAGCAGCATTCACCTCAGAGGTGTGCAGTGTGAGAACACAGGTTGCGGCTGGTATAGGCAAAACCACTAAGCACCAGGCAACTCCTTACCAGCTCCAAGGTATGGAATGAGTAACTGGGTTTCTGAGCTTCAGTCTTCATTCCTGAAAAGTGGGAGTAATAATTGCACAACCTTACAAGATTGAATTTGAAAAGTCCTAAGTGCTAGACATTAGGAGTTACCAAACTGATGATTTTCTTGGGAAAGAATCAAGATTTTTACTTAAGCGAGAAGAACCTAATAGGTATTTGCATATGACCTTCCATTCTCATTTTATTCCAGAGCATTTACAGGTCCAGAGTTGACCTGGGAGGTGCAGGGAGGCCCAACTTCCCTGGCTATAATTTGGAGGGCTCCTTCAAGTCCCTGAACTGTTCTGAGTGCTCCATTTACACTCGTTTTGCCAAGATGAAACTTGGACATTTTTATGTGAGATGACCAACACGTTACCCTCCATGGGAGGAAATTTTCACACATACAGTTTTATCTGAGTTGTGACTTGTGTTTTTTCAGATCGAACATCCATTGTCGACCCTCCCGAGGACCTGGTCGTGATTAAGGGAACCACCGCCACGCTACGCTGCACAGCCACTCATGACCCCCGGATTTCTCTCCGGTCAGCTAAGTCAATTAGCGTTTGTGGTTCATTACTATTCTGTGAGCTTAGGAAGTGAAGTTGAGATGAGAAGGGAGAATTTTTGGAACTTTGATTTCAGCCACAGATGCCTGATTACAGCATCTTACGGTCGTGGGCTCCATCATTAATCACACAAATCCCATTTTCTACTCCAGCCTTATGTATTATTTACAGTGAGCTATGTTCCACTTCATGACTTCAATACAGCTTTTCATGATTTTTCTGCCAAGGTTAATACACTATCTGTAAAACGTACTTGTCAGAGGCTGATACTTAATGAGAGAAAAATCCAGAGGGATCGAATAGGATTTCAGCAGTGTTTGCGCTCGGTCTGTGCTAATACTCCAGAGGGGTTTTCTCTCCTCCAAAGATGGTTTCATTGTGAAATGGAGATTGAGGGAGTCCTGGCATGGAAGAAAGGTAGCCACAGTTATCTGACACATTGGGTGGAAACTACATGTGAAGAAGGGAACTTGGAGATTCACAAAGAATTTGTGACATGTTGACTTTGCTTGAGTTCTGACTGGGAAGGCAGCAATGATAAATATAATACTCCAGGGGAATGTGTGGCAGCAAACACAGGTGCTGTCAATGGTGCGCATCTTCCCAAAAAGCTGCCACTTTCAGAAAAGTTTTCAGTTTTCAGAATCAGCCTTAGCAATGATTCTCAAAAGATACCACCATCCTAGTGTTTTGACTCTTAGCCCAAAAGGCATGCAGTCTGCCAAATGGATAGAATCAAGATGTCTTCCTTCCTTCTGGAACATTTTGCTCTGAGCAGAGGAAGATGGCTGTTGATGCATATATCATTAGCTGAATCTGGAGACTAAGCTGTTCTCGCTCTATTCTTGGGCAGGTGTTTGGCAAATCTTGAACTTTCATATCTGCACCTGTCTCTCTGGAGCTTCCAGAGCTCAAAAACCAAGTTCAGTTTAGTTACAAGAATGAGGGATGCAAAACAAATGAACAAAAACTGATAAGTAGAAGGCTACCTAGGGAATCCTTGGGGGCTGCCTTAGAGACAGTTCTCATGCCTGGAAAAGGATTCATTCATTTCTAAATGACTTGGGACTGCGACTCAAGAGAAGAATCAAGAACAATTAAGATTGGATTTCTGCCACTCTGAGATCTCAAAAATAATCCCCTTGGATCGTGGTGTTTTTCTTGTAACTTTTTAAGTGTGATTATTAAAAAGGAAATTGGAGTTTCCTTCGTAAGAAGGAATAAGGTTACTCACTCTTGGGGTACCCCTGGGGCCAGAGTTTCTCTCCCCCCCCAGAAAGACCAGGTCTTCAGTGACTATCTCAGCTGAATTCTATGCCCCCAAATGAGCAATTGATTCCTTTCCTCCTTGCAGAATCAAGCCTATTCTGTCTCTGAGTTGGGGTAATTTCAGATAAATATTTTGTAAATGACTGTTTTTTTTTTTTTTCATAGTGGGCCTCATTAAGGAATTCCATCCATTTTGGAACTTTAATTGAATTATTTTGGAAAAGAAAGTCAGCACTTCCCATCCAGTCAGTAGTGAGGAGTGGCCCAGCCCACTGAAGTCTAGAGGCTGGATGAGCACTTAACTGATTCCACATTTGAAAAGGAAAATGTGCTAAAATTGTCATAAATAAAACTAACCAAGAAAGAAATGCAACTTTTAAGGACAATGTGCCAGAATGGCTGGATTTTTAAGAAAACATGTTTATGGGATGTGATCTGTTTTTTTGAGAAGTTGGCTAATTCCACCCTGGTGATTTTTTTTTAAGCAGTCATTGACTCCCATCCCTGCCACACTATTGTCCTTAGAGAACTTCCCACTGTTAGATACAGTTAGATACAGTTTTAGTGGGAGGCTGGTGTGCTGAGGATTTCACACTTCTATCTTTAAACTCAAAGACCAGATAAATATTTCAGTTATCTTCATTGTCCTGTTTTTAACTTTAGCATCTATTTTTGTACTATGATCAAGATATCTGGTTGCTTTTTTTAAAAAGATATAATTCACATATCATAAAATTCATCCTTTTACAGGATGCTTTTTAGTAGATTCACAAGTCTCAGTTGTTTGCTTCTTAATAGTCAGGGAAGAATCAGAGGCCAAGATCCTAAATTAAGACTCTGCTTGGCCTGCAGCTACATCTGGAAGAAGGACAACGTGGCCCTCACCCCATCTAGCAGTTCCAGAATTGTGGTGGAGAAAGATGGGTCCCTCCTCATTAGCCAGACGTGGTCAGGTGACATCGGAGACTACACCTGTGAAATTATCTCCCAGGGTGGGAACGACTCCAGAACAGCCCGACTGGAAGTGATGTGAGTATGGCAGTGGCAGGGTGGTGATTATCTCCGGACTTTGCGCACCAGTGAGAGTCAGCCAGGCCTTTTGCAAGTAGCTGTCACTTAACATGGGTGTCATCCACGTTGGGTCCCTAGTCAACAGGCAGAGGTCTCTGCCTTATGTACACATAACAGGGATTTGTAACCTCAGAATTGTAACCTCTAAAGTGGTTTAGATGATTTGAAAATGAGTTTTCCTCCTTGTTGATCCCTGTTATCATATCCTCTCCGCCCCTCTCCACACCATATTGTAACAGGCTCTATTCCCCACACCACAGGTAAGAAATAGAAAGTTACTTTTCCATTTAATGCCCAGCAGAACTTCTGCTTAGTCAGAAATGTCAGGGTCAGCCCACTGAGATGAGCCCTACCCATGAAAGTCAACCAGACTGCAAGTTGAAGTTAGTGCAACCGCCTCCCCGTGGTCAATAGGTACTGTCCATAAGTCTTGTGAAATCCTGAAAATAGCAGGCAGCTGCGCGTTACTCCACTCTGGACCTTGGTGGGCGCCCGGAGGCCCAGGCAGGAGATCATCGTTCTCTTCTGTCTTCCGCTCTTTTCCATGACTCCCTCTGTTCGTGGGCAGGTAGCTGAAAAGCTTGCTGACAAATTTTACTTTTTCGACATGTATTTATTTGCCTTTTAAAACTGGTGTGGTGCCCTCCCGGATAGTCCCTGGGCACATGCGGACAAAAGTAAAACCTGAAAAGCAAAGAGGAGGCCAGAGCCATCCGATGTCAGGGCAGTCGGCACCGGCGGTCCCTGGCTGACACAGGACATGCTGGGCCATTAGAAAAGGTAATTTGCAGAGATTTTTCTGCCTACCTGGACCCAGAAAGGATTATATAGACAACAATCATTCCCTAAAAATAGAACTGGAACACTTTGAATACAGGCCTATATCTCATTTGTCTTTGAATCTCTAGACTCTGGCCAAGGGGATTAAAAGTTAAAAAAAAAAGAAACACTTGCTAAGTATTAAACACGTGGCCTCCTGTATCTGTGGCATGTGTGTGCACGTGCACACACGAATGAATGAACAGATGAATTCCTTTCTGCTGGCCCCTCCTTGTGCTGTTTTGACTGGTTCATGATATGTAGCAGCTAGTCCAGAAAAGCCTGTCATGTCTCTTCAGTGCCTGGGACAGCCCCATGCTACTTCCTAGTTGTTCTGTCTCAAGGATGACCCCTTGTTTTCTGTAGAGGTTAGACACTTGTTGGGAGCAAAGGTCACCCTCCTTAGTCATGAAAAAGCAAGTGTCCCTTCTGCCACAGAAGATCAGGAGCTAGGGCTCCTGGTGCCGCCAGGCTGCTGCACAGACGTTTGTCCAGTTCCATAGGTGTGCTTGGAAGGACCAGAGCCTGCTACCCTGCCTTTAGCATTTGCCTGCTGACCTTGGTTTCTTTCTGCCATCCTGTGTCCCTAGTCCCCCTTCCATGAGACCTCAGCCCTCTGCTGCCTTCACAGCTTCACTTGTGTTTTAAACCCTTTTCACCAGAATTGTCCCTCCCATCCAGCCTTCAGGATCACTCCCTGCTCTTGGGGCACCAGGTCTCTGTCCTACAGTGCTTCCCCACACCTGCTGCCATCTTGTCCTAGTATTGCTCATACAGGTGGCAGTGCCTACTTCACTGTTCCTTCCCCTACTAAAGTAGAAGCACCTAGAGGGCACAACTTTGCTTTTTGAGTGCCTGACCGTGTTTGGTGTCCTGTAAGTGCTCAAAAATATACGTCGATTGTTTGAATGCAAAAATGAATGCATATGTGTCGCATACTACTGGTGATTCTCCTTCTGATTCAGGGCAGATTCAACTTCCCTCTGCTCACAGACACTGGACTTCCCCCCATGAGCACACAAATGGCTCAGATCACAATGTTGAGACCCTGAAACCCAGCACCCCAAGTTCTGGTGCTCTGCCCTTTCTCCTCCCTTCCATATCTCTTGTTGGAGATTTTTTTAATGTTAATAATATTGGATTATATGGCCAGTGAATTTACATAATCCATTGTGCTATTCACATTTTTAAACTACCTTTGAGAACGCTCAGATCATCCATCATTGGTACCAAATAAATGTTAGCATTTCATAAAGACTCTGTCAGCAGAAGCCAAATTGCATACTTCCAATATGGTGCATTCTTTTTGTTCTGCACAATTTTTATGTTCTGCTGATTTACATATCTTCCCTACTATTTGTTTATTTGATTCCTCTAAGTAAAATACATTTTTCAGCAAATGTTGCTGTATCCATAAAATAATAGGCTTTCTGTAATAGTAAAACACCTCATCTCTAAATATAGAAATATTTGCAGATTTGTGATTCAAACCAATTTAGGTACAACTGGTTACAGAGCTGATTTGGAGACAGTTGTTCCTTGTGAATTGTTAGTGTAATAAACACTCCACTCTTCCAAATCTGAATGAATTGGGGATGTTGCAGGTTATAGTGTGGTGTGTCTTCAGCTCCAAATAGGTCTTAACTCTCTGACATCAGTAATGACAGTAGTAATGATAATAACAATAACTCAGGATTGCAGGGCATTTTGTGCCTCTCAGAGAACTTTCATATCTAGCTCAGTAACATTTCTGTGATTTACTCAGATAACAAAAAAGAAAAAATCTCATATTGCAGAAGTGACTGAGAGGTACTTATGGCTGAACAGTGTCCTTCAAAAGAGCCTGAAAGCCCTTCCCCTGCCTCCCCACTTCAGTTAAAAGCTGCTTTATTAAATATAGAAATTAGGAGCATTAGAAGTGGGCTTTTCAAAAGCAGGTCCTTCATTGACTTGCTCTCAGAGTTGTTTGCTCCGTGCTGGGTACCTCTGTGCTCTTGGTGCAAGCCTGGTTGTAGGGAAGGCGTCCCTGCCGGCAGGAAAGGTGACACCTTCCCAGAGCGAGGCAGGCCTGAAGGACCCTCCAACCTCTTACCACTGTTATGACTTTGGACAGGTGACCTCTCTTCTGGCCTCTGTTTTCTTACCTGTATACCAGGCATGTTCGCATGTACTTTGGGAGGCATTTGGGAGGTTTGAATAACATAGTGTTTGTGAATGTGGGCCTGGGACCTATCTTAGGGTGGATATTTATTTTATTTTATTTTTTTAAACAAATCAGCCTCTTTTTTAAAAAAAAAAGATTTATTTATTTATTTATACAAGCACTGGGTACAGTCAGAAGCGCGGGAGGGTGAGAGAATTCACCAGAGCCAGAGCGGGGAGCAGAGCAGGCAAAAGGACTGAAGTACACTGCTGAGGGGAGCAGCGGGTGGCAGGAGAGGTCTGCACACCATGTGGGACCCTCCTCCGGTGCCCGGGGAGCAGCAGGGGATTGAACTGGCGCCACAGAGGCTGCGGGCAGCTTCGCAACCCATCTCAACTGCTGCACCACCGGGGAGGCCCTAGGGTGGATATTTAATCAGCCACAGCTCTTATTATTCCTTATCTTCTGTTAAAAAAAAAATATGGCCATCCTCCTTTTGACAACAGCGCACCAGCTGCTCCACAACAGCATCAGTAAGTTTCTCTTTTATCCTGTCTTGTATTTGACCATATTTATGACCCTCTGATACACTCAGTAAGCCTGTCCACTGCTGTGCCCTCAATGCCTAGAATAGACTAGGTTCCCTTAATATCTGTGTAAGCCTCACCCCACCTACCAGTCTGAAATGGGCTTGGATATTTTGTGCCACAAAGGAGGACTGATATATGAAGGGTCTGCTTTTCCCCCCTCCACAAGAGAAGAAGCCTCTACAATTCCAGGAATTCCAAATTAATTTCTGGAAATTAACAGCACATAGGTCATAGTTACACAGGTCACCGGTTGTGTTAATTGTCTTTCTTACTAGTTTTCTGATGCCTTGAGGGGAGGAGCTGCTTCTGGGATGACTCCACACCCCCAAGTATCTTCCTGTATTGAGCACACCAGAGGGACCAGGTTCCTTAGGCTTTGTGGATTGATTAATTGTTAATCATTTAAAGACCCAATTAGCATTGCATCTTCCCTTCTGAGATCAGAGACTAATTCTTTTGAGCCTGAAGTAGAAAGAAAACCTAATTTACAGAGCCATTTGAAGACCCAAACCCTGGGGCAGGGGGAGCAGTTTCTTTCAATAAAACTACTTCTGACAAAGCCATAATAAGGAGTGAACAATTTAATACCATTTCTCGAAAGTTATCAGGTCCGCCTCATCTTCTTCCTCAGACCGAAGTCAAAGAAGATGGGTTTGACCAAATCATCATTGTGCGTTAAAGGGGCAATGCTTTTTTATATAGAAAAATACTTATCTGATCCTCTTCTGCAGGAGCAATTCCCCCCTACAGCCACAATTTTACCAATTGCTTTCTCTTGAGTCTTTTTCCAAGCTGTTTTTCTCAAACACACCTTCCTTAATCTCTTCCTATACAGTCCTGTGTCTGTTGTTAATTTCTGATATTATTGTGGTGTAATTTGCCTGATGGTGATTTCTCCCCTCATTCTCTTTAAATTACAAAGTGACTCAGCACTCGGCTTTATTTCCATTGTTCTGCCACCCACTTCCCTTGGTCACCCTGTCTGCATATTACTGTCTGTGAGTCATTCTGCTGATCATTTATCTCCTTTCAAAGTTGGCAGAGAAGTGCCAAGACACAATCTATCCCCATTAGATAAGGTACTCTGAAATGGACTCAGAATATATTAAAGACTCATTTATCAGTTATTGATGGGTTAGTCAAATATTTCACAGAGCTTAATTTTCTAGATAACCAAAACTTGCCATTTGAAGAAATTGTTTATGTTTCCAGTGTAATTTAAAAAGTTCTTTTCTTTGTTGAACAGGGGATGTGAACACAAGAGAGAGGGGATTTTCATAGAGGGTAGTTCTAGGGCCTTGGGTGCTTGGAGGTCCTGAGGTTCTTGACTTCTAAGCAGGAATGAATTCATGAGGGAGTCAGTACAGGCAAGTTAGAAATGAAGCCCATTGTAGTGATAGTACACACCCGGGGCTGAGTGCAGGCAGATTCAGAGGAGAGTCGTGCCTTGGGTCTTAAAGCTGCTGATATAAAGACTTGCTTAGTTTGAGGGGCAGGGGCTCACAGATGGGATCCTGAATGGGTTTTGGCCATTTTTGATTAACAAAAGGGGCAGGAGTTTACAGATGGGAATAGTGATTTTTGGCCAGTTTTGTTTATCAAAGCACCATGCCCCATAGCCTCCTGTTAGTTAAAATAGGACAAGTTTTACAACTAGTGGCACCTGGTGTGAAGATAAACTAATAGGACTTGAGTTGCTTGTTCTGGAATCTGCATAGCTGGCTTTGAGAAATATCCCAGTAGGGGGGGGGGGCGTAGGGACCTGTGGCCTTTGTGCTAAATTCCTGTTCCACCTCAGTAGAAGCTGGAACTAGGAAAGGATCTAAACTAACCTCCAACTCTGAGCCCATGGTACATGTAAACATCAACGTGTAAAACATTTTGCACTGAGCCATCATCCTGGTGTGACTATGAGTCAATGAAGCCGACTTTGTTGGACAATAGTGGACCGCATGAGGGCTCATTGTTTCTAGATGCTGCAGACAGTGATGCTCTCTTCAATGCTAGCCTTGTAGGTCTCAATTCATCCACACATATCGAAGCTACTTTGTTTTTTGAGTTCTAAGTCTTTTTTTTTTTTCAATCTTTTTAAAAAATCTTTTTCATCCCTCCATCTCAGGCTCTTGGCTACCACTTTGCTATTCATTTTGCGCCCACTGCTAGCTGGCCCTGTGGCCTTCTCTTTGGTTGCTTTGATCTGCTAAGAGGAGGGAAGCGAGAAATCAGTCTCACTAGAATCACATCCTAAGTGAGAATCTGCAAGCTCCGAAGGACAGAGGGATTGTATGTGATCACATGCCCAGGCTTCATGAGTAGCATCTGGCTAGGGGAGGATGCTCATCTAGTGACTCTAGACAAGTACTGTGAATTGAACACAATTCTTAAAGCCCTACAGCCCAAGAAAAGAGCTGCTTACTCACCTGTAAGAGTGGTCATTTCCAAGTGTGCGCTCAGGCTAAGAGAAGCATGATTGGAAATCCATTGTGAGAGCCCCCTGTTTCCCAGCTGTGGGAAGGATATACTTTTAAAAGTTAGAATTAGATCCAGCATAACCTGCTCCAGGCCACTAGGAAAAGTGTGCAAAGTTGTGGTAGTTTCTCAGGAGTCACGGTTGATCATTCCTTTTGTCCAGTTACAACCTTGTCCTTTTACTGCCCATCTCCTGCCCAGTTCATACATCCTGAAGGACAAGAATGACCCTTTTGCCATTCTGTCCCAAGTTGGCTGAATGTCCCCCATCTTACTCCCCTTGTCTTCTCTCAGACCTCTGCTGTATGTCAGCCACGGCTGCCTGACCCCTTCAAATTCCAGCTCATCATTTTCCTTATAATGTGTCCTCCCTCCTATTATATTATGTCCATTCCCTTGGGACTCTTTCCAATGAGCTGCTCTTGGGGCCCCAGTTCCAGCTCTGAAAAGTCAGTGTCAGTCAGATATCCCAGGAATTTTGATGGTCTTACCCATGCCCTTAGCAGGCCATAACCCTACCCTTCCAGTGTAGCCCAAGTGGCAGTGAGCAGAATAGTTAGAACTCTTGAGAGGACCGGTGGCGGCTGAACTGAGGGCTGGTCCATCAATAGAGCAGAGGGTTTGGTGTTGAGGGCATCTTTGAGGTAAGATTTAGTAACTGACTGGAGGCATGTGGATGGGTAGATGGTGGAGGGAAGGGAGAGATTCCTGAATGTAACTACTGGCTACAGAGAAGGATGGGCCAATGAGTACCTAATTTGGAAGTAAAATGATTCCTGACTCATGGTCAAGCCCCAGAGATTAGTCCTCTGAAATGTTTCAGTGGAATTTCTTCCTCCCCATTGCAAGATACCAGGCTCTCTTCTATGTCACACAGGTCTTTCAAGGTTCTCACAGGGGCTGCGTCTGTCTCCTCCCAACTTAGAGGTCAGACTGCGATGGCTAGAAGGGAGCCTCCTTAAGCACTTTCACAGGTAGAAAGTGGTCTGGAACAAAAACTAGCCCCATCAGTCTTCTAAGTTAACATTCCTCATGTCAGAGAATTCCTAGGAAAAAGCTTTACAGTGTGATTCTGCCAACTATCTGGAGTGGCACCGACCCCACAGGTAGAGGACACTGTCCCTAACCAAACCGTCCCTTCTTCAAAACCAGCCACAAGCTCCAGACTTCCCAGGCCACCCATACTTCTGATGCCTCACTAAAATTTGGGGCTCCCCACTTTCCTGATAGGTTTAGTAGTTCCTGATAGTTCAGTAGTATGACGCACAGAGTCCAGTTAAGTGCTACACTTACAGTTTCAGTTTTACTGTAAAGGACTAAAATCAGGACCAGACAAATGAAGAGATGTCTGGGTGCATCCCAGACAGGAAACACCCCTGTCTTCAGGATGTTGTTCTGGCAGAGAGATGTGTGATTACCAACCAGGAGGCTCACTTGAGTTTGGTGTCCATCGTTCTTACTGGGGTGTCAATAGTAGACTCATTGAATCACTGGCCATGTGACTGAACTCAGGCTCTAGCCCCCTCCCCTCTACCCCCATGACTGGCTTTTCTAGCCCCCTCACCCCAGAACTATTTTGGACCCCACCACAAGTGACCTTGTTATTGTAAACTCAGGTGGGGTCCAAGGGCTCCACTGTAAATAGCACACAGTCCTGTCACTTAGGAAATTCCAAAGGTCTAGAAGCCCCATGCAGTAACCCAGGACAAAGACCAGATAAGCTCTGTGTTATACCACAGTCTTACTTGGACATATTTATACAAGTTTATTCTTAGTTTGTTCTCATGTGAGAGTACTTCAACACTTCTGGTTTGGTTTCAGACAAAACCAATTGAGGTTGGAAAAAAAAGAAAATGAGAGAAGTAGAACAGATATTTTTATCCTGTTATTTCCTTCATTTTGGTCTTCACTAGAAATCTTAAGGAGATTCAGTTATTGGAGAAATCAAGTAGAAATAACTGCTCCTTTTCTGATTTAAAACTTAATTCACAATTAAAGAGAAAGCAAGGCAACATTTCAGACTCAGGTTTATTCTTTATTGTACTCATTTAAAGTCATAGTCTATGTTAGAAATATTAGTTTGTTTATAAATGGTGTGCCTGGGTTAGAGAGAGCTATGTTTCTTAGGTAGCTGCAAACCTATAACAATTTAATAAATTCCAAAGTATAATGAGTACATTTTTTAAATTAAAAATATCAAGTATAATTATGGCTTTTATTCTGTCCTATGTGGGTCAGTAGTAATTGATGTCCAAGAGAGACCAGGAACTAGTTAGTGGGTAAAAAGGGTAGTAGTCAGCACCCCCTCACCCCAGCACTGCCAGGAGCGCTAATAAAAGGATAGTCATCCCTAATGGCCACAAAACAGGGTCCTGCTCCCTGAATCATGAGCTGGAAAGGTTAAATACAGGACTTGGGCAGCTTATGAGTTTAAGGTTGTAGACCTGGTGTGGTAGTGGAAACTACAGTTGCATTTTGAAGCTTTACCATAGTAAGTCCCAGTAAAGGCCTTTCCATTAGTAACTTCTTTTCAGAATTTATTTACTTTAATTGCTTTTCCATTTTATAGCCTTGCCGATATGTTATTTACTATTTCCACAGGGTTTTAGTGTTTTCACCACATTTCCCTTTCAGTGCTGTTCCTAAATTTCCATTATCTAACAGAGGACAAAATGACAATGTAACCTCATGCTGTCAATAAATGAGGTAACTAAGTTGTCTACAAATATATATGGGCATTTGGGCTGGTAACTCCAAATGCTAGCATTGGAAATATTGAATCATATTTCCCAGGCCTTTCCTATTTATGTGGCTTACTGCATTTGCTACATTTTTGTTAAACGCTTCTAGTTGTAAAAACAAATTGTTGACCACATTTTCTCAATTGAATAATATACTGTGTAAAAAGTGGCAATCCCCACTGGATTCTGATTACAATGTCATTAGTTGTGTCAGTACCTTCAGGAGGGGTTAAGTCATGGTTTAGAAAACAAAATAACATTGTGAATGGTGGAGGACTTCCTGGGGGAGATAGTATTTGTGTTTGGGGCATATTTTATGTTCTCCACTTTATAAACATTACACTTCAGGTCTGTGCAATGTAAGAACCCAGGCTAACCATCAATTCTGATGTGCATTTTTTCTTCTTTCATTTTTTTATTTTTTTTATCCAAGTGAACTACCTCACTCGCCTCAGAACCTCCTGGCCAGCCTGAATTCCTCCCACAGCCACACTGTGGTGCTCTCTTGGGTTCGACCCTTTGATGGAAACAGCCCTGTTCTTTATTACATTGTGGAGCTGTCTGAAAACAGTAAGTAGCAAAGAAAATTGTCGCCATGGACAATAATCAGATCTCTTTCTAGACTCTTAATGTCTATAACCTTTACTTCTGGCTCAGACCCAAAACAACCAGTAAAATGTTATGATGCTTTATGGGGTTTCAAATGATAAGCACAGCTCACTGTAGAAAGGATAAAAGGAGATGTGGCAGCCTGGAGGAGAAAGAAGGAATGAACAATTGGGGGGCGGTGGAGGCTGCTGTGGGAGCTGCTGTGGGAGCCTGGTTGTGGGGTTGAAGTCCCCAGGTGGCTGCACAGACAGGGCTGCCTGAGGCAAAGATCCTTGGTCCAGTATCATCCTTTGAAATTGGCTATAATCCCCCACTTGGGGCTGATTGAAGAGTCAACAAAAGCAACAATGCTCATGGTTAACATTTTTTTAGATGTTTCCTTTGGCTTCAACACATGTGCCCTTTCTTCCCCTTCCTCGACCCCTCAGCAGCAGCCAGCACATCACTCCAGCCCTCCTTTAGCAGATGTTTTCTTTCTTGGATTTCCTCCAACCTCACTGGCCAGTCCTCCATCCTCTCCTCTGCTGGACGCAGGACACGCCCTTCTATGTCCACTGGCTCACACCTCTCTACTCTCCCAGAATCTCTTCCTGGGAAATCTCCCTGTGGTTGTAAGTGGCTTGTTTTCTTTAAAAGCATATCTTGCTCTGTAAGTCTTTACCCAGACCTCCAGGGTCATACATTGAACCGAGTTACTGCACCCCTCTACTGGGTTGTCTTAAGAATTCTCAAACTTAACTTCATCAAAATCTGTTTTTGGACTATTTTCTTGGCCCTAATGCTACTCTTGCTCATTACCATGGCCATTTGAATCTTATGTTGGCACCCCTATGGCTTCTGTGTTGCTCAAGTCAGAAGCCCAGGAGCAGAACCTGGCTCCTTCTTCCCTCTCCCATGTCCCACCTCCCCTCAACTCATCAGCAATCATACCAAATGGAGTTCCAGGACATTGCTGGAATCTGCTCACTGGCCCAAGCCACCATAATCTCTTGCCAGGACAATGGCAGTAGCCCCTAGCCGGCCCCCCAGCCTTTGCACGTCTCATTCCAAAATGTTCTTTACACAAGCAGAGTGTTGCTCTTCGTATGATTGCACCTATTTCCCTTGTGAGGTTCCTACTTGATCTAGAACAAAACACTGCCTCCTCTGTCCCATGCAGCCTACTTCTGCCAATCCCAGGTCACTCTGCTCCTGATAACCAGCTTGTGCCAAACATTCTGGGTTCCTGGCAGCTCACTGGGTGAGCCTGTTTCTCATTTCAGTGATATTCCCTCTGCTCACAGGGCTAGGTCATCCACCATGACCACCCCATGCCTCCTCCCACAAGCTGGCCAGAACACCCACTCAGCCAAATCTGGTAGCACCAAAGGCTGTTGGACATCCATGTCCTAGGTTTCTAAATGGACCCCCAATGCTTCAGTTTAGAGTACTCTTTCAGAATGAGCCCCTTGTCCAGGCCCTTGTTCCCCTTCCTGTGGACAGCACTGACATTTACTCTGGTCGCCTCTCTGAGGGCAGGTATGTGCGTGGAAACCAGTCTGCGTGCTGACATTCAACTTAGCTTTAGCTCAGTAGCTCTGATCAATGAAAGGAGTCATTGGCATTCTTTATTTCAATCAGCTTCCTGAGAAGATAAGGCATCACATGCCATGTGGTCTGTAAGTAAAGCAGAGGTTGATGATGATACATACAGAGAGACTGTGACAGCAGGAAAGCTCTTGCCATCAGAATTCTGACAAAGACAGCCTCACGGTGGCCAGCTCCTTGCAATGGCCAGTGTGTTCATCCTAATATCGCACTGCCTGTAACTAGGCAGTCTCTCTGACATGAATGGAAATGAATCCCTCGTGATGGATTCAAATTCCAGTCTTAGTCTTCTGAAGGGGAAGTGTTCTACCCTCCCCAGTTTACGTAAAATAAGGCAGTGTTTCAAACTCTACCAATTATTTTCTCAGTAAGTTGTACAACTGATTGGTTCTTTCCGTCAAACATCTTGCCAAAATAAGACACAGATTTTATGGTAATATTTCCTTCCATCCACCCAACACTAAATCTTGACTGGACCTCTGGTCCACACCAGGCATGTTGCTGAGTGCAAAGACGCAGAGATAAGATGATCAGTCTTCACTCTACACCCTGGAGATGGTCAGACAGGTCACTTTCTGCCACATAATAAGCTTCTGTTGAGGTGCAAACCCACTGTGTGGAGTGGTGAGTGAGGGGCCAATGTGAGATTAAGCAGAGCAAGCCTAGGGCCTGTTTAGAAACAAGCAGCTTCTAATGTGACTCCAACTGGGGAGACTGAGCCAGATATTGCTGAGGGTTGTGTGGTGGTGTCTGCCTGAGAAAATTCTCCCTCGTCCTAATGACCTAGCAAAAATACTGCTTTTCCTTCATATCTTTCCTTGACCTGTGTCCCATCATTCCCTCCGCGAAGTTCCCATGTTATTATTTATATTGACTTTGAGTATTTAGTACATTGAACAATACTCACTGGTTAATACGCCATCTTCTAGCAGAACCATGAACCCCTTGTGTGAGCATGGTTCACATTGTCAACTCGCTGTACCTGTGATGCTAACAGCATGCCTGACACATACTGGACAATGCTGTAGTTGCTCAGGTGTTTCATTGCACTAAGAAGGTGACTAAGTACATCGTTAGTCCCTCATTAACCTCTGGCTCTCCTGCTGGAATTGTCGACTTGGCAAAGATTCCCAGATGTTTTCTCTTTAGAATCTCTAATGTAGAGGAATCTAGAGTATGCCACACCATTTATTATTATTATTATTAATGAACAAAGTACTATTATTATACCAAGCATTTGGAGTGGATAAGATGGCTATCTCCAAGCTGGTCCTGATTTCAACTATACAAAATAAGTCTGTGGCTTTTCCCAAAATAATCCACACTGCTATCAGTCAATTAGTTCCATGTCTTCTGCCACAGCAAATAGAAAAACCAAATGATCTGGTTTTAATTTTTATTAGGGACTAGCACCCTTAAGAAGCAATTGAGCATGCTGGCTAATTATGGTCAGAAAGAACAGCTTAGTGGCAAGTACACTAAAATGAAAATTACATTTGGTCTATACTCAGCTGTGCAAAGTGGACAGTTCTAAATATCTCCATCCAATAGGTTCATTCATCCAGCTACTTGGAATATCCTGCAGCCAGCTCCTCCTGGCAGGCTGATTAGGATGCCATTCTCCTGGAAACCGTGCATCCTACAGGGGCCAAACTGACATCAGTTAGTGGCAGAGGCAGGCGCTTTGTAACACCTGCCCTCACGACATGCCAGCCTTTACAATAAAGCCACTTCAGAGTTTTTATGGAACAGAACTCTGGAGCTTGAACTGAGCCTTTGTTCATGCACTTGACTGGAGTCAAAACCCTTTATGGAAAAATACGCCTGTCCCTCCACAGGGATCCTGTAGTTTGTCTCTCTGTGAAGTTCGGTAGTTCTCTCTGCCCCAGCGCCTCTTTGGTAACCCCGGGCCTCAGAGAGGGCCGCAGAGACACGGTTCAAGGTACAAGTCTACTGGGCTGAGGAGCACAGAGTGTGGCAGCAAAGGAGACCTGGGGGATTCCTCTGTTAGAGAGTACAGGAATTCTTGATGACTTGGCAGAGAGGAACCTAGAATTAGGCTGAAAAAATCCTGTTGAAGAGTGAAAGCATTTGGCACCCTCCTTAAAATGTATATTGAGTTTGGTCAAGAATACTTTTTTCTTTGATATTGTGATCACATGCAGAGAGACTGCCAGAAAAATTGGTGAAAGACTTTGAAGTGAACCAAAAAACTGGGTGTCTCATCTAGCACATTCTTTAGGGGTTGGCTGATACCATAGGAGTCTGCACTTACTGTTTTTGAGCTATGGTACAATTCTGTAGCTTGTAGAAAACTTAACAGTAATAGGAATAATGCCTGTTCACAAAAGTGCAAATGCATTGTGTCCTGTTTACAAAGTGGTTATTACAGCAGTTGGTTCTTGCTCTGTAGATAATGACCAGTTAGCATCTATTTTTAAATTCATTTTAGCATTCCTGATTATTAATACATGTGTGTTATTCAAATTCTCTTTTGATACAGTTATAACATCTTACTGGTTCTTTCATTAATTAATGAGTTAACTAAAGTCTTTGACAAATGTTAATTTTTTACTTAGATGAGAACCACATTTTATCTCTTAAAAAATTTATACTTTAATAGAGTGGATTGGCATCATGTATGCAGATTCCTCATCGGAGGCAACACTTGTCAATCCTTATATCTCAATCTCATTCTCAAACTGAGTCCTTGCCTGTTTTCCATAAGTTGCATTAAAATATCTCACTGCTAAGATAGAATTATGGCAATCTCATACCACTTAGAAAAATTACATCCTTTCCCTTGGATTTTAATTTTTTTAAGTCTTAGCATATGTCTCCTAGTAAGGACTTGCTGGTAACAAGCACACTTATAGGAAAAATTCAAAATATTTCATTCTTTTGCTTCTACTATTAGTTTTTAATGGCTATTGAGAGCTCATCGTTGTGGTTTTTTTATATGTTGTACCTTATTTAAATTTAATTAAAATATAAAATAACTTTATAGTTATAGTTTTTATTATTAAAGTTATTCATGTTCAGTAATAAAAATTTAGAAATTACTTAAAGCACAAAGAATAAAAACAATCATGCAATCCCCTGTGTGTTATAAGCTAACTCTCCACCCTGTCCTGGCTGCTCCCTCTCTCACTCCCCCAGGTCTTGGCTCCATGGCCAAATCCTTCTTGCCCTGTCTTCATGTTCCCCCCCTCTCCTGGATGCTTCTACCTCTAAGCACATGATCTCCTGCTCCTTAGCTCTCGTTCATTCCACCTACTCATCATTCTTACTTCTTATTCTTTTATTTCTTGGACTTTTTTCACGGACCCGTCTCAAAACTTCATTTCCAGCCCTATTCCTATAATGTTGGTATC